AGGAGTCTTGCTGAGGAGGTCGAAGGCCATTTCTTAATAAATGACCTTCGTCCTGCATACCAAGCCCTGAGAAAGCTGAATTCCAAGCCCTCTTCACAGGTGACTGCAGTTCGCTTTGTAGGTGGCCAGATTGTCTCAGATCCTGTTGTGGTGCGGGAACGTTTGGCTGAGTATTTTGAGCAGTTGTATCAGGTGTGGTCATTCCCTCTCAGCAATGATTGCAGCAATCACCATGGCATCACACTGCTCAGTGTACCAGGCAAGGTTCTTGCCCACATCCTTCTGAGGCATATTAGAGACCATCTACAGAGGCATCAGAGGCCGGAGCAATCTGGATTCACTCCTGGTAAGTCCACAATAGACTGTATAGACTACATCAACCTCAAGAAGGTGTTTGATACAGTGCATTGGGAATCACTCTGGGAGATCCTGAGACTGAGAGGAATTCCAACAAGGATTATTGAACTAATAACAAGCCTGTATTCTGGTACTGAAAGTGCTGTAAAGTGTGGTGGGGGCCTGTCTAGCTTCTTTCCTGTCAGTTCAGGAGTGAGGCAAGGCTGTGTTCTTGCACCAACACTTTTCAATACTTGCATGGACTGGATACTGGGCAGAGCTACTGTTCAAAGTCATTGTGGAGCAACACTGGGCAATATTAAAATTACAGACATTTACTTTGCCAATGATGTTGCTATTCTATCTGAGTCTGGAAACCCTAGTGGTGGCTCTCGATACATTTAGTAATGAAGTGAAGCCCTTGGGTCTAGAGGTCTCCTGGACCAAGACCAAGATCCAGGACTTTGGGGACTTACTAGGAGAACCTGTTCGGTCAGTACGTGCTTGAAGTCACAGAGAGCTTTACATACCTTGGTAGTGCAGTTCATAACTCTGGGCTGTCAGACCAGGAAGTCAGCAGACAGATTGGCCTGGCAGCAGGGGTCATGAACTCTCTCTACAAGAGTATTTGGAGATGCTGATACTTGTGCAGAAGGACCAAGCTACGGGTTTTCAAGGCCCTGATAATGCCAATTTTGCTCTATGGTAGTGAAACCTGGACATTATCCAGTACCCTGGAGTCTCGTCTTGATGCCTTTTGTAATAGGTCCTTGAGCCGGATCATGGGGTACTGTATGTGTCTAACCAACGGTTGCACAGTGAGACTGGCACAAGACCTGTTACCTGCACAATCTTGGATCCCCAAATCAGGCTATATGGCCACCTTGCTCGCTTCCCACAGACTGATCCTGCTCATCAGGTTGTCTCTGTTAGAGACAACCCTGGGTGGAGGAGGCCTGTGGGACAACCTATGAGGTCGTGGCTTGGGCAGATCGATCAAACCTGTCGTGAGGAGCTCGAGATGGGCCGAGTCCATGCTTGGCAGCTTGCCATGAGGGATTCCAGAAGGTGGAAACAAAAGGTGGACGCGGATATGTGCCCCTGTCGGCCTTAGCTCCTAATGATGATATATATATATATATATATATATATATATATATATATATATATATATATATATATATATATATATATATATATATATATATATATATATATATATATATATATATATATATATATTATATATTATATATATATATATTTATATATATATATTATATATATATATATATATATATATATATATATATATTATATATATATATATATATTTATATATATATATAATATATATATATATATATATATATATATATTTATATATATATATATATATATATATATATATATATATATATATATATATATATTATATATTATATATATATAATATATATATATATATATATATATATATATATATATATATATATATATATATATATATATATTATATATATTATTATATATATATATATATATATATATATATATATATATATATATATATATATATATATATATATATATTATATATATATATATATATATAATATATTATATATATATATATATATATATATATATATATATATATTATATATATATATATATATATATATATATATATATATATATATATATATATATATATATATATATATATATATATATATATATATATATATATATATATATATATATATATATATATATATATATATATATATATATATATATATATATATATATATATATATATATATATATATATATATATATATATATATAATATATAATATATATATATATATATATATATATATATATATATATATATATATATATATATATATATTATATATATATAATATATATATATATATATATATATATATATATATATATAATATATATATATATATATATATATATATATATATATATATATATAATATATATATATATATATATATATATATATATGATGTAGAAGGGTTCAGGTGAAATTATAAAGTAATTTTTCCTTTCTGTCTTCATCTTCTTCCTTTCTTACAGTCTCTTTTGTGTACTAAAGCCCAAGCCTCCTCCTCCTTCCAGAATGGCTCCATCGCATCCATACCCACGAAGCTCACCACTTCTGCCTCTGGGGATAGCCTGCCGCCAGCGAAGAAGATCTTCCACAAGAAAGAGGAAGACTGCTCCCTTTTCGTGGCCTTCTTCACCTTCCTTTCGTATGGCGTGTTGCTCCTCGTGGGATACGTGAAGGAGTTCTTTAACCCTCCCTCCACCAAAGAGAAGAACAGAGAGGTAGGGTCCAAAGGCTGGGGGTTCAGCTTCCTTCTTTTTAAAATCATTGGAGACAAAGAAGTCTCTATCAGTTTTGTATGTATGAGGTTTTGTTGGTGTGTGTACATGTAGATATCTAATATGTATTTATGTCTGGCAATATACATGAATTTATCAGTTTGGTCTCTATAAGGGTTAGTATGATTGTTTATTTTATATGTGCGTGTACATGTTACTATCCAGGTTAAATATTTATGTATGGCAATATACATGAATATATTGATAAATGAAACTTGATTTAATGGGGATAAGCAGGTAGGTTGAACGTGAGTGAAAACTGCGCAGTGTGAAATGTTCTGTTGAAACAGACTGGAAATGAGTTAACGTTTTCTCTGTGTGATAAGATAAGGGTGATGATAGTTGCAAAGGTGGATATTCCCCCAAAATTGAAAGTGGTTATTTTTCATGCTTTGGATTGTGACAGCTGACAGATTTTTGTTGAATCTTTGTGCTATTTTTTTTTTCTTTTCTTTTCTTTTCATTTGATGGTTTCACTTGTTATTTATATAGTTGTTTGTTCTATTTGTTTGTTTTGTTAATATTCTGTATTTTTTTTTAGTATTTTAATTTTAAGTTTATTAGAAGTTCACTTTGTTGTAAGAAAAAATAGAAAATTACTAGGGTCAGGTGAGGGATGGGAACAAAAAATAAAAAGGGACATATGTGATCCATAATGGTAATAGATAAGAGGGTGAGAAGAGATAAAAAAGGAATAAAATGAGGGAAAGAACAGAGGGAAGTGGTGAACCCAAAGACAGATAAGGGGCAGTAATGGGAACAGATAGGAGAGAGCAGGGATGTTTGGAGAGGGGAATGTACTTTAGGAGGAGGAGCTAATGGGAAAAAGTAAATTTTTGCAGCTGGTCAGAGAAAGGGTATTTGTTAATGCCAAGGAGGAGGATGAAGGGGATAATGGAAAGTGGAATTCTAGAGAATATGTAAAGGATAGGAAAGAGAAAGGTTGGATATGTAAGAAAGAATGAGGTAGAAAACAAGCAAAATTCAGAAAAAAGCTAAAAAAGCTAAGTATAGCATACTAAAGAAAAATGGGAAAAGATGCGGGAAAGTTGAGGGAGTTGGAAATATGTGGGGATTAATTTTTGTGTTTTATGTCTCTATGGTGGTAATTTTTTCATCAGACGTACAAGTAGTTTGATCCACAAAAAGCAATGTCCACCTGAGGCAATACTGTCTGCTGAGACAGTACTCTAGCACAGTGGTAAAACCGGTATATGATAGCAAAGGGGCAGCAGTTTGAATTTCATGGAGGAAAAGCTTTATTACATCTGTATTAATTGCTGCCTCATAACAAGGAAGTTACACTTCAGTTGGTCATATGATACCAGTCATGTCCTGAAGTGGTATTGGCTTACCAGACGAACAAGGTGGGATACTAAACAAATAGAAAAAAAAGAGCAAAAGATAAGTAAGAGGAAGAGAGGTAGAAAATCAATGAAAGGGGTTGCAGAGACAAATAGTGGTCAGAGTAAGAAGCATTAACACTAGGAGAAAAAATAACAATGAAGAGAATAGAAATTAATATAGAAAAGAAAGTAAATCAAGAGAGAGAGAGAAAAAGAGAAAAGGCGTGACTAAGAGAAAGAGACAATAATCAGAAAAACAATCACTTATATGTTCAAGATTGGAAAATGAAATTGTCTCAACACAAAAAGCAGCACTGTTTGCACCATTCAGTGTCAGACAGTATCACTATTCAAAGTTACAGCTTCGTGACATTGATATCTGGCACATTTGGAGCTGGAACAGTACCAAATTAGGCATTGGAATATTGACATTTGGAGATGAATAAATTCATACTACAGCTTTTTCATATAGGAGAGTATGGCATCAGAATGGCATCTACCAGTTTGTATTATTATCAATAGCATTGATTGTGCAGTTAAAAGATTGATAGTGCTAAAGTGATTTGTTAAACATTGGTTTTGCATGCTTTCACCTTGTATAGTTTATTATGTTGAGTGTGTATTGATGAGTGTAGTAGTTCAGCGTTGAGTAGTTGTTTTGATTGTGTTAGCCTTGTTTCTGTTTGTTGAGTAGTCTAGGTCTTTTTTGACTAGATGCTACTTGAGATTCTGTTCGAGTTGGTTTGAGTTGAGTGTATGCGTCACTTATTAAACCTTGTGTATGTGTAGCGCTGTTGTTTCATGTGTTGGCTTGAGAGTGAGTGTTGAGAGAGAGGGAGAGAGTGAGATGAGAACGAGAGCGTAGAGAGGAGAGAGAGATTGAGAGAGAGAGAGTATGGCGATTGAGAGAAGTGTGTAGAGAGATTTTGAGAGAGAGAGCGTGAGTGCATGTGTAGAGAGAGAGAGCGAGAGAGGAGAGAAGAGAGGCGATTGAAAGAGTAGAGAGAGACAGAGAGAGAGAGAGAGAAGAAGAGAGGATAGAGAGAGAGAGAGCGATTGAGAAGAGAGAGACGATTAGGAGATTGAAGAGAGAGAGAGAGAGCGATTGAGAGAAGATAGAGAAGCGATGAGAGAGAGAGAGAGCGATTGAGAGAGAAGAGAGAGAGATAAGGAGAGCGATTGAAGAGAGAGTTAGAGAGTAGAGCGATTGAGAGAGAGAGAGAGAGAGCGATTGAGAGAGAGAGAGAGAGAGCGAGAGAGAGCGAAGAGAGAGAGAATTGAGAGAGAGAGAGAGAGATTGAGAGAAGAGAGAGAGAGAGAGAGAAGAGAGAGAAGAAGAGAGAAGAGAGAGAGAGCGATTGAGAGAGAAGAGATTGAGAGATGAGAGCGAGAGCGATTGAGAGAGAGAGAAGAGAAGCGAGTTGAGAGGATGAAGAGAGAGAGCAGAGAGAGAGAGAGAGAGCGATTGAGAGAGAGAGAGAGAGAGAGAGAGATTGAGAGAGAGAGAGAGAGAGAGAGAGATTGAGAGAGAGAGAAGAAGGGGAGTGAGAGAGACGATTGAGCGTTAGAGAGAGAGCCGATTAGAGAGAGAGAGAGAGAAGAGAGCGAGAATGAGAGAAGAGAGAGAGAGAGAGCGATTGAGAGAGAGAGAGAGAGAGAGAGATTGAGGAAGAGAGAAGCAGAGAGAAGGGAGAGAGAGAGCGAGCAGAGAGAGAGAGCGATTGAGAGCAATTGAGAAGAGAGAAGAGAGAGAGCGATTGAGAGAGAAGAGAAGAGAGCGATTGAGAGAGAGAGAGAGAGCGATTGAGCATTTGCAGAGAGAGAGCGAGTTGAGAGAGAGAGAGAGAGAGCGATGTAGAGAGAGAAGAGAGAGCGAGAGGAGAGAGAGAGAGAGAGAAGAGTGAAGAGAGAGAGAGAGAGAGAGGAGAGAGCGATTAGAGAGAGATGAGAGAGAGAGTAAGAGTGAATTGTGAGAGATGAAGAGAGAAGAGAGACAGAGAGAGAGAGAGAGGGTAGATAGTGTATAAGATCTTAGGAATAGTTATTTCCCCCCCCCCCCCACTAACTTTGAATGATAATGATGTTCATAATATAGAGGTGTTTGTCATATGTTAGTGTAGTCTGTGTTGTTTGCGCATGATATCGTAGTTGCTTTGAGCCCTTTAGCACGTATATTATGTGCACATAATTATGTAACACTGTCCATAAGAGGTTGAAGTCTGTTGGAGAATTACATATGTTAGTATACATGTGCTGCTCACTGTAATCCTTTAGAAAAATTGACTATCGTCATCCCCTTTTTTCATGTGTGTAAAACTTTGATGTTGCTTGTAGTGTTAAGGTTTTATCAGATGGTGATTGATTTGCTTCATTGTAGGAATAATGAGCTTATTGTTGTCTTCACATGGAAAACTTATTCTAAGGTAAGTTTCTTGTACGATCTTTCCAGTAGACATTCCAAGCCTTTTTTAGTTAGATATATTTATGCTAATCATTGTGTTCTTTGTTTTTTTCTATTTCTTTTCTTTCATTGCTTTTTACTATACATGTTGTTCTAGCAGTAACAGTAGCCAGGTAGAAGTCATCCAATATTGTGTGTTAATGTTTTTGGAAAGGTAAGTACAACTTTGGCTGTTTGCGATGATCGACCCATTCCCTTTTCTTCTTTCTTGTTTTCTTTATTTCCCCCCACGATGCCAACTCCTCTCTTTTTTATTTTGGATGCTATCCCAGTGCACAATGGACCATCCTAACCTGAATGTGGGTATGACATAACAGAGAACGTCACACTGCCTTGATGTTATGAACTACCATTTGGAGTTGTACTGTCCGTCTCACAACAATGACAAAAATGGACAAAATGCTCGTTATAAAACAATAATGTGAATGATGGGTAACTCTGTAGTAATGAGATGTTGTAAATTATTGTTACTAATTGTTTGCATTGTTTTCCTTTCTTGAACTTTTGTTTTATTTCAGATGAGATTTGCACTTGATGTTTTGTAATACTGCTTATATTAATGTTGTGATGAGTTGTCTTACTGTAGGGAAGAAAAACCTTTTCTAGAAATATGTTTTGTTTTGTTTGTGAGATAGATGATTTGTTAAATTTACTATTAGGTATTTAGTTTGTGTTCCTCAGATTGTAGCAGATGTACATATTCTATGAATAGGTTAAGTAGCTAACCTGCATGAGATATTATGGACCTGTTTTGATGTTCAAGAAAATCTATTTTTAGTGCTGGAAATACTGATAGATAGTATCATGTGTCAAACCCATAGAAAGGTCTCAGGTGTTAGGAATTATAAAGAGAAGACTATGTTGCTAGCTGTCATGTTTTAATACTAATTGACCCTCTCATTCCTAATATGTGAACTTGGAAACGGAAAGTGCGTAAAAAGAATTTTATACATTTGCAGCATTACAAATCCCTCAAGGAAAGTGTAATACTGTCATTTGTTAAAGCAGTTATAGGACACGCATCTGTGTGTCCTTATGTATGTGTGTATATATGTGAATATATATAATATATATATATATATATATATATATATATATATATATATATATATATATATGTATATATATATATATAT